AGGTTTCCATCCTTGTTTGACTTGTGACTTTTCTGTGCCCGGAGAAAATAGCCCTTGCTCTGTTCATGCAACGTGGATTTATAGAACAGATTTTTTTCATCTTTCTTTGTAATGCAAGAATTTCAGCAGTTTAGGCTTTTATTCTGATACAAAAAGAGGTACGTATTCCTTTGACTCTAATCTCAGGCTCAATTTCTTTCTCCGAAGTACCGTGTGAAATCTATACACCTGCGTCCTACAGTGCTGTAATGAAAGTGCCACGACCTGCAGCCATTTCGTCTTCTCAGTGAAGAGCACAGTCAGGTCTGCAATTCTTCCAGACGCAGCACTTGGCTTTCCCTTAGTGGCTGAATTACTCCCTTTAGTTAGGCTGGTCAGGTAGAAAGCTGATCGTTCAGTCGTTGTAAGTCGAAGACATGAGCACATTAAAGACAGTATCCCGTGGCTTTCTATGGGGCTTGCTTTCTACCTAGAATGATTTTCTACTTGGCAGTTAGCCTGGCTAAGTCAGATAAAAGATATACATTTCCTTGAGCTCTGTCTTGCTTTGTTCCTTCCTTAACCATGCTGGAACATGAGTTTAATACAACTAACTTGATATTTAAACGTGCCTGCCTTGGAGCTGTGGGCTGCAGGGTAGGTGAGGGCTTCTCTCTGGGTCCCTCCTGGAGGCCATTTGCGGAAGAGCAAGCAGTATTCATGAGTAGCCAAAATCTTTGAGACTCAACCACCTCGTTAGCCATGTCTTTGGGTGGTCCATCTTGCCTTGTCAGGCCAGCTGGGCTGAGAACTTCTGCCTCTTACCTGCCCCTCAGTTGCTCCTGTGCTCTGAACAACATGGCCCCAGGGCTGAGGATTTGCAAGAGCTGCGGGGGAGCCCACCTACACTGTTGTTTCTGCACTAACCCCCCCAGCAGCTGTTAACTACTGACTGCCGAGGCAAATACAATGTCAAGAAATTGCTTTTACATATTGCCTTGCTGTTCTTTATAGCTACGGACTTCAAAATCATGTGCCAGTGTCCTCCTCCCCCGCAAATAACAATCAACAACAAAAGTACCCCCCAGGGTTTGTGTGATTTGAGATGCGGCTCGCTTTGGGGCAGACACAGTTCTCGGTCTTGCAGTTCAGCTGGCACTGGACAGTGTCTGTAATAGCTGTTCCAACAGCTGAATGATACAGTTTTGCATTCTGTCTGTTTGCCGGCACAGCATCCATTTAGGCAAGAATGGGTATCTATCTTCAGTGTAGATACCCATTGCGAAGGTACCCACAACGAAGAGTGCATCTCTGGATGAAATTACACACCGCAGGGTAAAAGCCCAGAGGATACCACATACCGGTATGTCAAAGCTGCACGAGGCCGTGTACAGGCACTGTTAGCTTTGCTCATTCAGCCAGAATCTTCACAGAACCTGGTTTATCTAGGCTTTACTATACCATATTTTATTAACCCCAGGTTTAAGAAGTGAACTAGAAGGCAACTTATCAAGAGCACTAAACACGGTGCAGTGTGGTTGTGAGTCAGTTGGGATGGCTCCAAGCAAGTTTTGAGGCCTCCCTCCAGGCTCTTCCTTGGCCCTCTGCCTCCGTTCGCAGCAGACCAGCTCCAGGACGGGGTCACGCATTGATACTCTGCTTCTTGTGGAGTTAGCTTGGACCAGAACAACCCTGTGAAAAAGGAAAGAACAGCCACTGCTTGGGTTGAGGACCCCCATCTTGTTGAGGTGGGGTTTTAATTGAATTTGTAGGCTGCATTTCAAAGGAACCTTAATCTCTTTAGGAAGAAAAAAAAGGTCTCATCAAGTTACGAAGATGGTTCAAATGCTCACATAATACACTTCTCGTTGGGAAGGGGCAAGAAGGAAGAGAGGCATGAAAAGGTGGAGCAGGGGACTGCCGCGAGAGGCGGCAGCAGCACAGCACGGTGTGGGGGGAGGCGGAGTGTCCCGTGGGGGCAACGGCTCCTGGGAGCTTTATGGGACTGTACAGCAGCACAGGAACCCGCCAGCCCCAGGCGCGAGACCGCCATGCCTGTAGTACGCTGCTGAACGAATTAGGTCATCGCCTCTCCTAGATCCATGATTCCAGGACCTGTGCAGGGTGCTCTTCTGGGGGTTTTGTGGTAAGGAGCGGAGAAAAGGGCAAACTAGAGCTTTTGTTCTCCAAGGAGAATGCCAAAGGAACCAGCCCTTGTAAAGAGCAGGCACTCAGGCTGCCGTGTGAATTCCCTCTTGCTTGGCAATTTTATTTTGCCTTCCTTGAGCACAGCCAGGACTCTGTGCTCCACTCGGGCAAATCCATTCCATCCCCTGGTCTCTCAGGGAGACTCATGCAGCTCTGGGTACAACAGGTTTACAGCAAAGCCCAAGCTTCATGCGCTCCTATGGGGGTAATACTCAAAAATACTAAACTAGTGCTACCTCTCCTGCTGCCAAACGAAGAGCTTCATCAAGGTGAGGGTAGTATCTTATCCCTACACCTTCTCCCTCTATTTCCTTCCAGAGCTCCTAGCTGGGCTCTGTGCAGGTACTTGGTGCAGGCGTTCATCTCAAACTCTGCTGCAGACTTAAATGATACAGAAAATCTCATTTCAGGCGTAACTTTCTGACCGCTGCTGTTTCCATGGCATTGTTTTGTTTTCTCTGCTGCTGGCATCACGCTGGGCAGCACTTCAGAGAGGGTGGAAGGAAAACAGAGCAGACAGGTGGCAGGTTTTGGAGGAATGAGGCCCTGGGCCAGGGGAGACATGAGGATTAAATCTTAATTTTTGTATTGGTTTTGTCTTTTTTACTTCGTGGCCCTTTTAAATTGTTGCCGTTGTGTAGTCTGCTTCGTCCTGGAAAGTGCCCCGACAGCTTTCACTGCTGTGCCAGAGGCTGGTTATAGAGTCTATGGTTAATCTGGGGATAAGTGCTTGTAGAATACAAAGACAAAATAAAACATAAAAAATTGTTGAGCCTGTCTGAGGAGAATAAAGTGACTAAATCCATCTTGTAAAGATAAGGTAAAGGAATACCAGATGGCAGATTTACACTTGTATGCTGGTGCCGAGTATCGCTTCAAAAAAGGTCTGGTGATGGAATTGGTTTTTTTATGTTACAGTAATTAACAGAAGGCATCTTGTAATGAAAAAATCCAGCAGGAGACATAGAAAGTTACAATTAAACATTCTCTTTATTTGGGCCTTGCTCTGAAATGGCACAAGTGATAAATGCTCAGAGTGCCCACCAGCGCTGCTAATGAAAAGACCCAGAGACACGTTTTACACTTTTATTTGGATTTAGATCAACACCACAGATAAGATACTTTGGTCAAACACAAGAACAGATTGCTATGCTGCTCCTTCCTGGCTGCAGTAAGTACAGTAACATGAAAAAAAAAAAAATGCTGATTCTCCTGGAACACCAAATGTAAATCTTGGATTGGCACATACAGCTAACAAATACGTTGTTTGCACTTAGCACTTCAAAACGGAATTGCACATGCAAGATGTAACCAGGCTACTGATCACCTTCAGCATTGTCCCTGTACTATTTTTACTTTTTAAGCTCTTTGCTTGCCTTTCTCCCAGCAAGAAAAAATAACGTCATCTGCTGCTCTACTCAGTGTTTCAGTGATTAGTCTGCTGATTTTGCCACATTTAGCAAAGGTCACACTGAAGTTCTTCCTGATAAAATCGGTATCATCTCCTCTATAGCTTGACTTGCAACACCATGCATCGCAGGTAGCAATGGAAGTTCACCAAAGTGAGGTGAGAGGTCTGCCCAAAAGCTGACAAGGAGACGTTAATACCAAGCAAAGATACAGCAGAGGGACCGGCGTGAATGCGGTTCTTACAATACCAAGGGTCAATACTACTACCACACAAATAATGACATATCAATAATATATTGTACAAGCTTATACAGCAACACATGTTGATTTGCAACATTGTACAGTTTAAATCTAAAGTGCACAGCCTCAATCTGAGGTGACAAAACAGTACTATCAATATAATAAAGGCAACACAATTACAGACACAATTTATTTCCTCTTAGTTCATGTCCTCATGATATTACATTGAATCAATACTCCATTTATCTATTTTAGCTGAAATTAAAACCACATTGCACTTTTTTTTTCCTCTTCAAGTATTTTAGAGACAGCAAAACAATATTGCTTTACAAACAAAAGCTGGCCCTTTAGGCAAAGTTAAAACCAAAACTTTAGTAGGGTTATAAGTAGACAGGCCCGAGCCACAGAACTCTTACCGACACTTCCAGATGTTGGGGGGCAAAGACGATACATTTCAGTTTCCATGCCAGAGTCACCTCTAATGTTAAAGAATGATGCAGCACATGAATTCTGCAAGAGCTGTGCCCATGGTCTCTGAAAAGGCTGTGAGGCTCCGTGTGGGCTGTTTGAGGCAGATGTAGCCTTATGTCAATTTTTTCTGCAATTTCAAAAGCCACTGCAGACAAGGATGGAGTCCAGCACTGGGAGAAACCTCTGACAAAGCAGTTTGTTACTTAGACCCCATCCCTGCCACTCAGATTACAGTCACATTTAACGTAGGTGTTGTCTTGCAGACCTGTATATTGGTAAGTCTTTACCCTTTTAACATAGCTGTGAGGCTTCATGCTATTTCTTTAGTAAGAATTTCAGTCAATTTTAATTTTCAATGTAGTTTTGGACTGCTCATAGCAGAAACGGTTATGAGATAAGCATTTATTCAGACATGTGACTTTATTTTTTAGATAGGCTTTTTTACCACGGAACACAGAAAACATCCAAATATAACCTTATTTCAGTCTTGGTTAGCACTGTATATTGATTGTGCGTCTGCTCAGTTAGGCCAAGTGGGAAATGTAATTAGGAATAATAGCATCCTATTGTTGTACTGTAATTGATCTTATTAAGTGGTTTTAAGAGCTGCAGTACTCTTGAGGTTTTTCAGTGATCAACCCTGGAGATGTACAATCCATATGACATGGAGAAATGAGATATTGGTACCTCTTAAGAATGTAGTATGTGGGCTTGTATTTTAAGATAAGCAGTAATAAATATTTGAGGCATCTCTATCAAAAGAAAAAGAATCCTAGTTAATTTTCAGCTTCTGTCCTTGCAGTTTTATAACCCATATAAAATAAAAATATATAGTTTACAAAATAGGATTTTTTAATATATATATTTCCTTTTGTAAAACTATACCTATTTAAATACATTTGAAATGTTGGTATAAGTAAATTAGAAATTCTGTTCCAATACTACGAAAAAGGCAAAATACTTTCACTTTTAAACATACAGCTTGTATATTCTGCTTCTCACTGCCCCCTCCCACTTCCCCCAATTTGATTTTGTCATGATTTTTGGCAAATCTGACATCATTCAGTCTGATTGCTTTTAATTTAAAGTAGTCACTGTGTTAAAATTGGGGATAAAATTTTAAGTGTCTTCTCATCTTCCTTATTTGTTTCAATGCAGCTTTTTGTGCAGCTAATTATTAAGGAGGTATTCTAAAACTCAGGAAAGGACTTTAAAGGAGTCATGTTTCTTGACTTTAAACTGTACTCTACTCCAATGCCACAATATAGAAATAGAGTTACTTTGGAACAAACTACAAATACATTCGCACAGTTTGTGACAACTTAATTGTCTACTTAGAGGTCCTGGAACAGACTTGCACAAGCAATTATTATAAATCTTGTCCCAGGCGTTCAATTTCATCAATCAGGAAATCAATGTCTTGGTGAGTTGCTGCAGGGTTTGAGATGACCATCCGGAAGAAGTTCACTTTGTCTCCCAGGGGCTGATAGCTCACCATGGTCGTGCCATACTCCATCATCCTGGCTTTTATCACTGGTGCCACCTACAGCGTAACAAAAAGCAGGGTATGATGATGATGATAATGATGATTATTATTATCATCATCACCACCACCACCATCATCCTTATTATAACAAAACACAGAATATGTTTACTTTTTTAAAAAAAGATCAAGAGCTACAGGAAGCAGTTAAAATGAAATGACGTCCAATATTGATAAAAACGTTAACCTCCATTAAGGAATAAATGTCTCATTGAAAAGACATTGGGCTTATCCTGTTTCTTTGTCCTGCTCTTAAAATCACTGGGGAATTTCCCCCCCTACTTTCTCAATATTGCTGACAGGGACACAGTAGCTGTTTTTTGCAATGCTCAAAACATACAATAATTTTCCATCTTCTTTTCATATGCCAAAGTGCCATGCTATTATTGAGCTTTTGTTGCACTTGCTGGGTTTAGCAATTGCAGTTTACAATAACTTCAGTAAATATACACAGAGCAAATAAGTGCTCTAGAGATGATGAGGCAAACCCAGGGAATATCAAACTTGGGAGACCAAAGTAAGGTGGTGCCAGATTAACCTGCAGTAAAATGACCACGGAGGTGACATTTGCCAGAGTATCACGAGGTTACCTTGCCCTGTGCCCTGGGAGATCATTTGGGAGGGTTGCCTGCCTGCAAGGGTTTCACTGTTCACTGCATGAATGCTGCTTACCTTCATAAGGCGGCTCATTCTTTCTTCGTTGTCTTCCATACTGCGCAAGCTGGGAGGTATATACCAGAAGCAGACGTTTGTGTGCTGAGGCTAGACACAGAATAATAACAGTTTACAGTGTAAGAAATGCTCATAATATCTCAATTACAATTAAGTTCATGCCTTCCTTCCCTCTCATACATCATATTGTGACAGCAGTCAATGGCTTTCATTATTGTGGTCCACTGAGAGTCATCATCATTATTAATGCAGAAAAGATAATTTTAGGCAATTTATTCCCAGGGTGTCAGATGCGGAAACACATCATCCAGCTGTGCAAATATATTTATGCCCTACCGGGAGGCATCTACATTTTGTAGGTGCTGTCCCCTCCAGAGCCTGAAGGGATTGTGTGGCTAAGGCAAGAGTCTGTTACAGATAATTTAGAGGTAAGGACAATGTCGTTTACTTTTATTACATGACAGAATAATTTAGAATCTAGTTCTGTAAACAGGAGTCACAGGTGGTTCATGAGACAGTCTAAGATTTTCTTACAATCAATGAAATTTATTACTTCTCAGTTTGATTCAGCTAGCTGCTGAATACATGCACCACAGCACCTTCGCTAGTTTAACTTACATGGGAGCACCAAACAGAAAGGCATGAAGTAAGAACTAGTTGACATTTTGAGTGTTTTTGCTATCTCCCAACAGTTGTCTGCCGTGCTATGTTCCTCTTTGCTGGATGCTAAATGTGTGACTTACAGCAACTCCTATTGCTGCCAGTTCCTTTACTCATCATCAGAGCCAGTGGACCAAATTCAGTGATGATGTGTGAGGTGGGGGAAATAAATCACACGGTGGCATGTGACTGGGTACGAGCCTGTGATCTCCGTTTGAAGAAACACAGTGACGTTTACCCTTGTGCTGCAGAGCACTTAGGCACGCACTGAGCGAGCGCTACCAGGGAGCAACGTTCTGAGAAACAAAACCTTGTGGGGCAAGTATAGAGAGCAAAAGCCATCACAACTAGGAGGAAAAAAGCTAAAATCAGATCTTTTTTCTCTTTTACAGCCAAAACAACAGTTAACTATGTAACAGAGGTCTCTACCAGGTCTGTCCCCAGCCACCACAGCTGGAGAGGGTTGCCCACAAAGAGATGGTCAAACACCGGACAGTCTGGTGCAGTTCAGAGGTACAGCCACACAACCAGGCTGCACTACCTTGCCCTGGGCACTGTGCTGCAGCTGAGCACCTGGCACCCAGGGGACCTGTCTCAGCTGGTTGCCCTCCACAGAAACAACACGCCTAGAGATATTTGCACGGTGGCGTCACCTCTGCCACATCAGCCAGCTGGGGTCCCGAGGAACACTAGGCCCTGCCCCGCTGTGCTGCACCCCATCACAGCAGGGACTGCAGCACAGATGGTCCCTCCAGGTTGCCCCACGTCCCTGCAGGTCCCCTGTGACTGCCCACCTGAAAATGATGATAAAAGCGCTTTGCACAACCGTCCTTTCAGAACTGCATGGGGCACTGTAACCTCCGCTCGTAACAGACCCTGCTATTAGGAAACCACAACTTCTTTTTATTACTTAAGAGCTGGTTCCAGTTGTGGGTGTATGCTGTGTTAGCCCAAGATGCCAGTGTTTCGTTTCAGTGGGGTGAAACTGAGCAAACTGAAAACTTACGCACAGCTGCCTCATCTCCCTTGTCGCTGGATCCCATGAGGAAGAGAGATACCAGCACAGCAACAGGTTTTGTTACAAGGGATGCTGCTTTCTGTCATGTGCTATTTGGTTTGACCTGTTGGTAGCATCCCAACTGGCAAGTGCTGTTGACCAACTGGGAAAAAGAATATACATACCTTTCCATCAAACACCATTTCATACCCTTCTCTGTTCTTTATTTTATTGTATAGGTATTCTGCAAGTTCCAAGCATTTATCAATTTGTGCTTCAAATCCCGTGGTTCCCTTTAGAGAGAGGGGGAGAAAAAAAGTTACGTGACTATCTGTTCTGTGAACCGAAAGAGTGAAAGGACCGTGCAGCACTTCCCAAAGCACCGGCACAAGTCACCTCACAGAAGTCCCTGTGGGACAGATTAAGGATCTGATTCTACGAGATGAAGGACACTTTGCTAAGCAGAACTCATTTGTCTCTGGCTTTTGCCACTGAATCCCTTACAGCCACCTCCGCAAAACAAGCACCAGGTACTAGCTTGGTTCTCAGCAAAATATTGCCAACACCTCCAATGAAGGGTGCCCTCAGCAGATTTTGCAGAGAGGCTGAGCACGTTTCGTCCAGCCTGGACTGGCACAAAGGAAGGTCTCTAGAAGTTGCTGAGTTCCAGACATGGGGACCCTCCTGCTATTTTCAGAATAGGGATTTTTAATCTTTCAGGCGTTATGTGCTGGGGGATTTTCCAAGAATAATTTTCCTTTTTTTAGTTAAGCACAGAATGCGCAGATGTGCTTATAGAGCCCAGCCTGATACCTGTGAAAATGCACATTTTGTTTAGATACTGTCCTGCCTCTGTAATTTTTTTCTCTCTTCTTTTCTAGTAGACACCATGTAAAGTCAGTAGCTGTGTTTTTAAGAGCTGCAGCAAATCCTGCTTTTTCTTCTCTGGCAGAATTCATAATCCTCTCTCTGTGACATCATAATTGTTCCTCACCAGCTGTGATGCCACAAACAAAGGATCCAGCTTGATGAAGGAGGAAGGGGAATAAACAGCTGGAATAGATAAACTGTTTAAGAAACACGCACCCTATTTTGTAACGTTAATATTACAAATGGGGTGTGAGAAGAGAAAAAGCAGTACAAGGCACATTGAAAAAATGGGGTTTAGAAGAAGAAATGTCTCTAATAGATGCATGTCCCTGCTAAATCTGTTCTGACAGTGCAGAACTGACTTAAAAGCCCATGTCATTATCCCTCCGTGTACAGAGATTTCAAAACAGGGTAGAGCTAGCACAGCCCCGGGAGAAAGGTTTGGAGTAAGAGAGAGACATGTGGCTAAAATTGCCTGCCACTCTGGAGATCCCAGTTAGCACAAGAGCTATTGCGACCACAGAAACTTGCATCCTCCTTTACAGACTCCCACACATCCCGCTGCATTTGATGTCTGTCTCAGAATTGTTTTCAGAGTTTTAATGAAGCACATGAGGATCTTTAAGGCTTTCTGGAAATGAAAACAGTGATGTCATCTCCTCTGAACAAACCTGAGGCAACTTGACATAATAGACTGGATAAATATATGGAAGAATTTAATTTAGTGACATTCTACAAATACAGACGAATTAATCATTAGACCTGGTGATTTCAGATTTCCCCGAGAACCGATTTTGGCGAGTTTTCCCCTACTCCTCCAAAAGATGACTTCGTATCTACTGCATGCAATGAAACTAGGTATTCCAGAATTCATTTGCCATGTTTAATTTCTGAATGTCATTAAAACATCTTTTTATTTCCAGAAATCTTCGTAACAACATTCCTAGGTGTATGATTTATGCTGTTAGACTCCTATAGTTACACAAAGCAAATGCTATGCAAAGCCATGGAGTTCAAGTTTCCAAACTTTGTGTGTGCTGCTTTGAAGCTAAATTGTTAAAAGTATAAAAAACCAGAAAATAATAAAGTTCTTTCTTTCATGTTATATATGGGAAATTCAGGTCAGATTTTCTAAAATTATGATTACCAAAAAACCCCCCTGTATCTGGTGTGCATTATTTTAATGCAAACAAATATATTGCATGCAGTCCTACCTTTGCCCTCCACATCAGCCATAGCTTGAAGACATCAACATGCCGTCCACATTGCAAAGCCTTGTCTCCCGTGTCATAAGAAAGGTCATAGTGCTTGTCTTGTTGAAAGAGGTAGGAAGCATGCATTTGATTGCAACTCTGCATCAATCCCTTACAGAAACAAAGACACAAAAAAGTGATGTTGGTGCAGATGTGACTACTGTTTTGAGGGATGCTTTGGGTGAGAAATTACAAACACCCAAATTCAGTGGAATACATGTCCAAGTGCAAAAGGAAGATTTAAAAAAAGGATAAAACCAGACTTAGTTGCTCAGGGGACTAAGTTTTTCATGTCCCATTCAGTGCCCAGGACACGCTGGTACCTGATCCAGCAATACGCAATCCACTCCCAGAGCCAAGGCATTTTAAAAAAAAAAAGATGGGCATCGTGCTTCTTAGCATCATTATGTGTAAGTTAATTTTTGGATTTCTCTTTTTATTCTTTGTTCTGGTTCCTTTTCCTCCTTTCCTTGGATGGCATCTTTTCTGGTTGAGTCAGACCAAGCCAATTTGGTGACTAACCTAAATAATATCACACCACTTCTCTAATTGCTTTGGTCTCTAAAATTCCGATTTTCATTGTTTCCTTTCTTTGTAGGCACAATTCTTTTCTGCAAAGCCCTCAGCTGCAGATTGGATGCTTAAGTGGTATAGCAGGATTCGAACAGACAGAAGAGCATATGGCCTTTAAACAGTCAGCTACAGCTATTTCTGTGTTGCAAGATGCCATTCTGAGAGGCAGCTTTGTGGGAGGGCCAGAAGCCAACAAGGTGAAGAAACCTGGCTCATGAAAGCATGAGGTTTCTTGTTTAGCTTTTTAAGTGAAATGCAGAGAGTCATGTTCTGGCTCTAGTTAAGTCCTCAAGCACGTTTAAGGTATACCTTAGGGCTGTTGCCTAAAATTGCAATTTCCAGTCCAAGAAGAGTCAAAACTTGGCTGTTTATCATAAAGTCTAATCTTTATGTGTAACTCAAAACTGAGACAGTAAAATGAGAGGGAAAAAAAATTGACTTTCTCCTAATCTGAGACATCTGTTCTCACTAGAGGTCAAGGATGGTACTGACTTCAGCCAGGCAGGATTTGTCTCAGGGAACTGACCCAGAGGGCAAATAAAAGCCAGCTTCTCTCTTCCTAAGTGCAATCACTTTGTATACAATCTGTTGTACAGCTGTTAGCAAAACAGCAACCAGCTTTATGATAGCTGATCTAGTAAGTGGTGGTTGTATAGCAGCTGTCCCAGTAACTGATGGTTATATGAAAATTACAGGCTTGAAGGGCAATTCAAATTCTAGTACTAAATGAAATGTCTATTTTTTATTCCAAGTGAACTTAGTGTTCCGTTTTCGCTTCCATGTGGAAGTGGATATATGGATCAGAGCTGTGTGGAAATATCTATCATAAAAGTCTGGAAAGTGTAACGATGCCTAGATTCTGGACCAAATGTTGTGCTCTATGTATACCATATTATTCATTCCAAGAGGAATAGGGTTTGCCTGCAGTTACATTTTGTGCTACACAGCAACGAGTGGGGTTACACAGCTATGCACCCACAACTTTCATCATCACATTTTGAATGGAAAGCCACAAAACTCTGTAAAAATACTGCCATTGGATTGGATTTATCATTTCTGCTGAACAGCTGCTGTTTTAATTCCTTTTGCAGTCACAGCCTGAGCACATAACTAGAAGTCTACCTCTCATTTTCTTTCATAATCTTCATGACATTAGCAAATATTAGCTATGACACAATTATGAAGAAAACATTCAGGATTTTCAGAAGCAAAATGTCAGAAAGGATCAGAGACGCAAGTATATTGGGACATACCTCTTCTCTTACTAGCAGGGCTGAACACTGCAGCGGGACACCCATCATCTTGTGAGGGTTCCAGGTCACCGAATTGGCCCTGGGACAGCAAACCACATGAAAGCATGTGAAACTCAGACATTGTACTATGGTGGTGAAACCATGGAGACATTTAGAAATAGTTAGAATAATAATGAACATGTAGTAATGCACATTTTTTCTTTTCCTGAGCAAAGAAAGCTGAAAATAATAATGGCTGATATTAGGAAAGCAATGCCTTCATAAGGGACCTAATCCACTCTAGTTGGTTTTTGGATGACAATCTTGGCAACTTACCACAGGATAATTGCTCTATCCACTAAACTTAATCAGTATTAAACTTTCTGGGGAGTCATCTATACTTTACAAACACAGGGCAAACTTCCTAAAAACACCCACTTGACTGATGAACTTTCTATAGTTGCACAGCTGATTAAAGATGCAGATAGGAAGCTGGAAAATGAACAGATTTTCTCCCATTGATTCCAGTTTCAGCAAGATTTTAGTAAGTAGCTCACATACATAGGCATTTTAAAAAATTCCTTTAAATACTTCTGGGTACCTCTAAAACTCTGAGTAACTTGGAAAACCTGGCCCAAAGTAATTTTTCTCATTGCTCTTCCAATGGTAAATTTTCATAGCTCCTTCATTTTTGCTTGGCTATGGTAATTCACATAACTGGAGGACTGGGTCCAAAATTACCACAGTAATAAACACAGAACTGATCCACCCTTCCACAAGACGGTCTGATCCTGCCTCCCTTCAGGCCACATTCATTGGAAAAATAGCTGTCAGCCTAGATCTTGTGAATGAACAGGGTGCTGAAGCAATACAGCCTAGAAAAGAGGCATTTGGGACTGTGGCAAAGGCTGAATGGAATATTGTCCAATTGTTTATTATTTTGTCTTATGCTTGACTGTCTATTTTTTAATTACTATTATTACACAGGACGATTAGCTGATAGATGTATACAGTTGCATCCTATTTGGCAGGCTGTCAAGGATGCGTAGTGCACAGGATTTCATGTAATGCAGTGATTTGAGTTTTGATGGTATAAATTGGTATAAATCAGTCAACTGGGGCATGTAAAAAACTTAAAAGGACCCAGGACACACTTGCAAGTAACACTTATGTGAAAAGAGGTGAGCATGTTAGAATCTGACAGTATATTCCTTTGTAGGACTTGGAGAGAGCATATAGGTTTATACATGTCCTTATCAGTTCCTGCCAATTTGCTTCCACTCCTTCAAGGCAAGCACCTCCAAAATTCACATGGACATTGGGCAGCAATGCTGTGCTTTCTTCTTTGCTATTTAAATGGGACTGTGCAAGCGCCTGTATCTGTAGGCAACAGTCTCCCACAGGCAACATCTGGCCACTTGGCTTGGCTTTTCGAGTATTTGGCAGCTTTTAATCAGCTCAGAGTCAGTCATCTGATTACAACACCAAAGCTAATGATTCTGAACATGCATCCAGGTCTATGAATTTCCTTTGATATGATACTTTTAAATTTTTATCTGTGCCTAGGCAGAATCAGGCAGAAATTCTTTAAGAGTCTTCCAGGTAATAGTAGTGGTATGGGTTTTCTCAAGCAAAAGTATTATTTACTGACAACACACAGATGTTAATTATGAACCTAAAACATTTAATTTACCCTAAGGTCATTTATTTCCCCAATTACATCCCAATTGCACACAGAAAAAATTAATAATTTAAAATAAAAATCCACTATTTTTCATTTGTTACCTATTATTCTGGGCTTCAGTCATCAGTACGTGCTCAAAGAAATTGCTGACTGAGACAAACAGGGAAGTGAAAAAGCTACATGGATCCACAGATGTTTTTTCAAAGCATCTCACGTTTGCCCAAATAACTGAGTACCAAACACCTACATGATTTTTTTGGCTGTGGGTCACAGACAGAAGAAAAAAAAAAGAGGAAAATTTTTCCTTTAGAGATTTCAAATGGATGACAGGAGAGATTCAAGACTGGCAGAATTTGGTCCTCAGCCCTCATTAAAAACTGACTGAGGTGTATTCACCGACCAGCCCCAGCAAGGACGCCCAGACCCTGTATGGGAGCGCTCATCCAGCTGCAAACATGCTTTTCTCACATAGCTGTGACCCTCTGCCCGAGCCTCTGAGAGAGAGACAGCAGACTGAAACCCCTGATGGTGGCCAGACCTATCTGCTCCAGACACCAGGGGACAGATATGCTTCTTTCAGGGTACCTTGGAGCAGCTTGAAATCTGCCATGTAGGCACTGGAGGGCACGGTAAGGATGGTCCTGCAATTCCTCCTTTGACAGGAGCATTTTTTGCTGGATTGCCAGAAGGATGCGAGTACTCTGAGCAGAGAGTGCTCCATTTAATGCTCTGTCCTTGTACCTTTCTTCCCTATCAAACATGAGTACCACCTCCAGTTCTCTTCTATCCAGAGCTGTAATGAATGACTGGGTTGTACCTGAATATCTACCATGGAACAGGAATGTCCATAAAAGCTGGGTCTAGTAAGTCTGCTCTAAACCCACATTTGAGATCTGAACAAACTGAAATGAGCCTCTGTGTTAATCAAGCAGAGCAACAGTATTGAAAATGACAAATTTCATTAATTCATTGCCAAACATATGGAGATGGTGCTTATCAAAGTACTATATAAAATACAGTGGAGTTCTGGATCTAAAGCAAATTATTTGGAAAATTCTACAATATAGATTCAACCTGAACTTCTCGTTCCAGCAGAACTTGGACAGCAATCTGGGAAGCAATCATAATCTGTCCTCACTTTCTAACTTGCTGGATATTTGGATGTGTCTCCTTTTAATAAATAATACGTAAGTTTGGAGTGCTGGAGGTGGTCTTAACTAAATTGAATTCACAGAACCATTGGCCACTCTTCAAATTTTGCATGCGAGATGTATGAGAAAGGAACTGAATTATCAAGGTATCCTCTTAATCTTCAGGAATGGGAGGAGGAAGTTGTTGTAATTTTAATTGGCAAGGAACAGCAATTTCATTTTGAGATAAAAAAGGCGGAAGGGAGTAATAATTTACTCTCAACATCACGAGCTTCAGAAAAAACACTAACGTGACAGTGATTCCATCTAGCCCAGTATACGGTCTCTAGCAAGTGGCCTAAATAGGTGCCTGGGAAAAATACAAAACAGGGTAAGCATATATAAACTTGTTCTTAATACTCTTTGAGCTCCCACTCATTTGTAGCTCACAGAAATCCCGAATGGTTTTTGTTTGTCTTTGCTTCAATGCAGGTAAATCTTAACAACCTATGGCAAGGAGTTTCACAGCTTAATTTTAAGTTTCTGAATAAGCAGCTGTTTTTAAGCCCAGTCCTTCCAGACCCTGAACTGGACTGGCATCCCTTAGGTTCACCTGTATGTATCTGTAACGTTCACGAGCTCATGGCTACAACTGTGTATACATCCAGGCACAGATTTACTGAGAAGGTGTCATTATCACAGCCTGGAGGGGGGTATTCTCTCCAGAAGCGACAGAGTAGTGGTCAGCGACTGCCAGGACACCTGTCCAAACTGCAAACGCATCCACCTTTTATACTTCAGCGTACAAGATCTCCAGGATTCATTTCTTAGAGAAATGCAATTGCTAATTCACGCTGGACGTTGAATCACAGAACATTGCAGAAACCACTCTGGACCTGCGAATGTATGCTGGGAGGAACAGAAAAGCAAACAGACTGCTGCCTGTACTGCAAAACAAGGTGCCGCTCTACTGTGGCGTTGAACAAAGGCACTTAGCAATGCTACTTCAAATGGAAGGACAGTTTGCATTAATTTCTTCATACTGTATCCTGGAGATAACATTGATTTTTATTTATAGACATTTCTATGGTAATCACAAGTGTATTAAAAGCATTTAATAAATATGTTTAATCAACATTAATATATCATACCTTTCAACGCCATTTAGCTTCCATTTGTGTTTTCTTGACATCAGGAGCCCACCACCCCATGCTCCCTAGAAAGCAAGACACATTATCTTAATGAGAAGATATATTTGAGATATACCTATTATATACATATTATATATATAATATATAAAAAATATATATATTTGAGAAGATATATATGCTGCTTTTCTCCATGATGACATCTGTCCGTTCACATCAGTTTGGGGCCTTTCTTTTCTTCTTGCTGATGTGGCACATTTCAAAATGACCAGGCAGATGGGGCCTGAGACATTAGCTGTACTAACATTTTCTTCCAGTAGCTTGGAAGCAGCAGTTTATAGCCCCTAATCTGAGTACCAACCCTTATCGTCTGCCTAGCCCCCCTCACCACCTCTTCTGACACTGACGCAATGGGCTGCCCCACGCCGTCATTACTGCCTCGCACAGCGGCTCCTGGGTAAGCCGCCTGTTCTCTTTTAGTGACGAGGTGATGATAACAAACCGGATGGGGATCTCGGCTGCTCTGGTGAATTTTCGTCGTATTTCAGATGACTACTGCTTGCCCCCTACTCATTTGCTCACAGAGATCTGGGGACAAGCAGGCGTTTCATCTGACTGAGAAGTAGTTCAAGGTACATACGAATTCTTCCTTTGAACTGGAGTGATTTTGGCTGACACAGTAATCCAAAAGCAAGATACCCAGCCCTACGGAAATTCAATTACCAAGCCTTTTTGGAGAAAGGATTTGCAAAAATTACACACAAGCCATTCTAGGGCTGAAAGATGATCCTTCAGAAAGATTTATTGTCAAGAACCCTGATAAAATGAAGTGGCCAATCTGCTAAATTTCTCTAGCATTTGCATTAATCTGTTCAGCAATTTGGGGTACTTTACTCCAGACAAATGTAGCCTTTTCCTTATGCATTTATTTTGCAGCTGCTGCAGAAGCTGAGCCAGTGCTCAGTATACTTCTTATGTGTTTCTTGTACTAATGGTGTGCAGAGATAAAGCTGAAGGCCTTAGAGCACTCAAACTGGGTCATCTCAAGTGTCCCAGCTGCTAAAAGTACCAGACAGTCACAGCTCTTAAAATGTCCCCCTGACCTGAGCCTTTCAGAGGAGTGGTAAGTCAGCGCTTGGATGTTAGACTCAATTACAGGAACCAAATACAGTTTTGTACATGACGACACTGTCCAAAATGAACAAATTAACGTTAATACACCTTGCAATCCAGCCCCCACATATGACGATACTTACATCCACGTGCATCCAGATTTTGTACTTCTTGCAGATGTCTGCAATAGCTATGAGAGGATCAAACGCCCCGTACACTGTTGTCCCAGCTGTGGCACTCACCAGAAAAGGAACGAATCCCTGCAGGAAAGCACAGAGGCATTTGGCAAGGTCAGGGTGCTGCAGCCTCCCCAGCCTGCGGCAGCCCCGACTCCTCTTGTGCTGCCTCCACAGTGAGCCCACAAGTGTCTCCTAGAGGACATACCCGCTACATTGCACTGGTTTTTAATTAGTTTAGATGCTAGTGATATTACAATTTCTACCTTAAGGTGGCAGCAAACTTCCAAACCAGCATCCTCCATTTATTAGGATGCAGGAGGCAGGTAAGGGCTCAGAAGAACAATCCTGCTCCATGACACCTGCCTCAAACAAAGAGGTCCGCTCTGCACGACGTCGTGTAAAACACATCTCACCCAGGTGTGAGGAGAACCTTCTCAAATTTCACCCAGATTTCACCCAGTGCAAGGAATACCTCTGCTGGACTGTGCCCTGGGCTGCATTGTAATTACGCCAGCAAGTGCCTGAAGGCGTGTGGTGGCCCAGCCCTGTCAGCAGGAGCACCTTGTCTGGGGGCATCTCCTGGGGGCCATGCACAGGGGAGGTGTGGGGCTCACCTCCAGCCCCATCCCTCCTGCAGAGGGGAGACAGCAATCTCCATGGAGGCCAGGGACCATCTCCTGGACTCCCTCTGCTAAATGCTGTGCCTCACAGAGGAGCACTCGCTGTCCGACACAGGCCGTAATCCACGCCAGTGCTTCACTTTAAATTCATTTGTAGTTCTGTTGATTTCATAAGCAGTACTCAGAGCAACAGGTACAGAGTGGTTATGGTTTTTGCAGAGCTGGAATTTAAACTATCAAAAAGGTCTAAACTTCTCTCTGCAAAGTGAAATGCATAGTCGGTAGGTTTGGGTGGTACTCTGTCGCCATGTTGCCTTTCATTTTTATCCACTATATTGCTTTTCTTAGACAAAGTAAGCTTTCAGTGAAGGTTTGTGTTATTAATGAGCTTTGAATGCTGCATTTCTAATGATTGTTTACATAAATTTTGTTGAAGGCACAGGGCTAAGTTCACTCCATACTTCAATACATTGTTTTAATTCTAGCTTCTATTAATGAACACATACAAAAGTAGGGCATTTTCAGAAATGTGTGGATTTCAGTTTATCTTCCGTTGTTTTGGCGACTATGAGGAAAACTTTCAACAGGTTAAAATATATATGCAAATTCCCCAAATGATTACTCTGTTTTTGCCAGTATTCAGCTGAGGAACTGCATCATAGACTGATAATATGGAGGATGTTATGCAGAGGAACACATTAAAAAAGCCAAATAGTTCATGGAGATTATAAAGTAGCTTTCAACCTATTTTCTCATCAACTCTTGCCTCACTAAATGCTACGCTACATTTCTCAGAAATAAATCAAAAGTTAATGGTCAAGCCTATGTTGTTGGTTTACCAAGGAAAGCAAAAAATCTAGCTGTAT